TGTATCGTGTCACACCGGTTGAAGGTTACTGGCTTAGAGATAGTCCCGATGGAAAATTTGTTTTCCATTTCGTTTCATCCTCCTTTTTCTGGATTAAAAACCTTGTTCACACAGTCATTAGCAACAAGACGTATATCTGGTGGTGACAGTTTTAAATTTCTGTCTAGTTGAAACTTGAGGACCAGGCCATTGTTAGGGAGATGCTTAGGAACGTTCTCAAATCATTACTAAATACAGGGGGTCCCCCTAACTTAATTGACATCATTTAAAATTTGAGTAACTATATGTCTCAGACAAATGAAATTAAATAGGCTTCATGTTGAACAATAAAAGATATTTTTTTATCAAAACTCGAACAAGATATTCAAAGGAATGTAGATTTTATAACCGATTGCACAAAGCTTCAAAAATGTTCAATATGCTCACCACCTGTGACACGATACACGTCAAGTCGGTAGTCCAGCTCCTGCCAAACATGCTGTAGCATGTCTTGCGTAACATTCTCCAGCACTTCATTAAGTCTCTGCTTAAGTTCCTCTAGACTTGTAAGAAGACGAGGCGTATAGACCTATTCTTTCACATATCCCCATAGAAAAAAATCACAAGGTGTCAAGTGAAGTGAATGTGGTGGTCATTTCACCAGCACATTGTCATTATCACTGGCACGCCTGATCCATCTTTTTGGTAGATTCTCGGTGAGATATCCGAACAGTTAACTTAGTTTTTACACATTTTCTTAAAATTTGAGTTAATTTGAACGAGGATTGGCTATGATATTAGACTATAAAATGATGTCAATTTTTGGAGCACACTCTGTATTATTAATAATATGATTTGAGGTAAAAGTGGAAAAAAAAGTAGAAACTAGATGACGATTTGTCATATTCTCATTCTGCGCCGTTATCCATTACACCACACCGTAGATCTTAATTTTTTGCGTGTCCCCCCCCCCAAAAAAAAAATTGACCTAATCTAAAATGTGAATATTTGAGTAACAATATATCTCAGGCAAACGGAATTAAATAGGCATCATGTTGAACAATAAAAGATCTATTTATCAAAACTCGAACAAGATATTCAAAAGGATGTAGAATTTATAACCGATTCGACAAAGCTTCAGAAATGTTTAATATGCTTACCACCTGTGACACGATACACGTCAAGTCGCTAGTCCAGCTTCTGCCAAACACGCTGTAGCATGTTTTTCGTAACATTCTCCATCGCCTCAGTAATTCTCTGCTTAAGTTCATCTAGGCTCCCAGAAAGAGAAGGGCTTATAAACCTGTCCGTTCACATAGAAAAAAAAAGCACAAGGCGTAAAGCCAGATGAACGTGGTGGCCATTTTAACAGCACATTGTCATTTTCACTGGCACGCCCGATCCATCTTCCTAGTAGATTCTCACTGAAATAAGTCCGCAAAGTCAATTTAATTTTTACACATTTTGTTAGAATTTGAGATTATTTAAGCGAGAATTGACTGTTATGAGACTACAGAATGGTGTCATTTTTTGAGGGGGTGGGGGCGCCCTGTATATGTACCGACGATACCACGGTTTATGGGTGCACCTCCAAAAATCAAAACGACCAGGGCTTCTATAGCTGATCTCGGCTGTGTTCTAGCTCTCACAGCTCAATAGGAGAAAGACTGTGTCATTCAACACCTCGAAACTTTTCACCAGTCCTATTCAACACTCAATAAGGTTAATTTCCCTGGTCTATTGGGTTCAAGCTTTATCAACTCTTTGTGGGTTATTTAAAGCCGAAGCATATTTCTGAATTGTAAGAATAATTCTATTGTTTTTATTTTACGGCTTATCAACCCTTTGTGGGTTATTTAAAGCCAAAGTATAGTTCTGGATTGTAAGAATAATTCTTTTTTTTTTTTTTTATAACGGTTTATCAACCCTTTCTGGATTATTTAAAGCCGAAGCTTAGTTCTGGATTGTAAGAATAATTCTATTTTTTATTTTACGGTTTGTCAACCCTTTGTGGATTATTTAAATCCGAAGCATAATTCTGGATTTTAAGAACAATTCTATTTTTTTTCCGGCTTATCGACCCTTTCTGGATTATTTAAAGACGAATCATAGTTCTGGATTTTTAAGAATAAATCTATTTTTCTTTTATTTTACGGCTTATCAATCCTTTGTGGTTTTTTTAAAGCCGAATTCTATTTCGGAGTGTTGGAGGTTTATATCAGGTTGGCGCAAAATTAATGTCCGATTTTTGAGGAAAAAGTTTCAGATAGTATTTATGAAATTCGTGTTTCTTGTTATAGTTAAGGAATGTCACAATTTATACGTTTGTTTTTTCAGTGTATATTAATATTTTTCATGATCTTTCGCAGTATCCACACCCATGTTCGTCCCATCTAAATGTCACATTAGAAATATTTTACTGTATGAGTTTCATAAATGTGCCAATGCAAGTACAGCAGCAAAGTCTATTCAGAGCACTTATGACGATGATGCATTGAATGCAAGAATTTGCAGGAGGTGGTTTCATTTCCGCAGTGGAGATTTCAGTTTGAAAGACGAGCAAAAAGAGGGTCGTCCAAAAAAAAATTGATTCTGAAGAGTTTAGCCGTTGTCAAAGACAATCCCACAATTACAGAACAATTTACCGTAGACCTTACAACCTTGCGACGCCAATTAAAATGGATCGGAAAGATGGTTAGGAAATGGGTCCCACACGAACTGCCTCCAGAGAATCTTTAACAGCGTGTTGCTTGATATGAATCATTGCTTTCACGACACATTCAGGCACCATTTTTAGATAGTTTTTTTTTACAGGTGATGAGAAGTGCATCATTTACCATAACGTTAGACAACGCCGATCATGGATCAGTCGAGGAGGAAGATCAGTTCAACAAGAAATTGTCCATTACGAACTGTTAAACAACAATCAAACAATTACAGCTAATCTATATTGTAATCACCTTCAATGTTTGAAAAGAGCTTTGAACTGAAAGTGAGCTTCCTTAGTGAACAGAAAGGATATAATCATCCATCACGATAATGCTCGCCATCACGCAGCTCAGCTGACGAAAAATCTTTTGGAAAAGCTTAATTGAGAAATATTGATCCGCCACCATATTCATCTGAACTTACTCCATCTGATTATGACTTGTTTCGGGAACAACAGAATCATTTGAATGGTCTTAGGTTGACATCGATAGAAAAGGTTGAAAATGAGTTGGATTCATATTTTGCTTCAAAAATATAGGAATTTTACATGGGTGGCATTTATAAGCTTCTTGACAGATGGAATGATGTTACAGAAAGCAAAGGGGGTTATGTTAACGAATAAATATTTTCATAATCATGGGCTTTTCATTTTTAATATAGACCTCGAAATCGGATATTACGTTTAACCCAACCTGATAGTACCCGATGTTCCCAAGCTATCCACCCCCCCCCCAAGATGCTTAAACACCGTTCCTGGTTAGATCACCGGAGGACCTGTGATTCCAATGCGATTTTACCGTAAACAATGCTTGGAAAATGGCCGGTATATTTTAACGCTTCAAAATGTACCTGACTCTTCCTACCATACTCTTTGTTTACAACAGTTAGATGTAAAAACGAAAATAGAATATTAATGCCATATCTGGGGATGGAACTGCCTAAGCCTCATTTTGCAGCTTTGATAAAGTCCAAAAACTATTATGTGACCTTGTGGGTGATGAATTGTTTTCCAACGAACAGCCTCTTTATCACAGACAAAATGGTACTAGCTTTTCGCTGTTCTATCGCAATTTACATGGCAAATGTTCAGACGAGCCACATTCATTAGTTCAAACCAGTTCCAAAGCAAGAACCCGACAAAAGACCGACTCATCATTATTCCTTTTATATTCCATTGGTAACTAAGAAGTTCTTCTCAGACAGCGTCTTCTCCAGAACAGACGCATTGTAGAATTGATAGGATACAGGGATAGCATTTATAAGATTACTGACAGATGGAATGATGTTCTAGAATACAAAGGATGTTATGTCATAATTTGAGCTTGAGCTGTCTCATCTCTCGATCCAACCTCGACATAGTTCAAAATTATTTACGCAGCCTTGTGTGTGATGAATTATTTTCCACCCTACATCACAGACGAAACATTGCTAGCCTTTCACAACTCTATCGCTATTTCCATGGCAAATGTTCAGACGAATTACATTCATTAGTGACACCAGTTCAAATCTCCAATACAAGAAGCAGCCATGACACATACAAAGGAACAACTCAAAATTTATTCCTTTTTATCTTCCATTGGTAAGGAGGAAGTCCTTCTCGAACAGCTTTTTCTCTAGAAGTATCCATTGTGGAATTGAGAGGGTAATTTACCGATCACCAGGATACCAACCTCTTGAAATCCAGTGTGAGCTGTTATCTCTCCTCATAATATACATCAACTTTATTTATTTTGGAGCTTGAGCTGTCTATCACAATTTACATTTAAATTAAAAATATATATATATATATATATATATATATATATATATATATATATATATATTAATGAAATATGCATTAATGAATTTTTAACTCTACCTTGAATGTCTCTTGAGTCTTGTACTGGATGAAAAACAATATATATAAAAAGACAGTGTCTTGTGTTATAACTACGGTGGGTTTCATGAGTAAATATTCTGGGTGTGTTAAGTGCACTTAACTTCTATATGTCAAATAAGACGAAGGAAACATTGGTAATTTCGCGGATGAATGGATTGAACCATCTGTTTTAATCTCCCGAGAGTTTTGCGTAACACATCATAAGGATATTGAAAATATTCTCATGTCGAAGTAGAATACTGAATTATTTGATAGAATGATAGAATGATAGAATGATAATGACTATTGATAATGAGGAATGTAGAAGGGCCGCTTACAGCACAAAAGGGTTCGCAAGTGGTTCCCCCGTCTCAGTACTTACTGACCAGGCACGGCAATACATAACTTCGTTGAACGAACAAGAACCGATGTATTTAGATAGATATAAACAGACTGAGATAGATAGATAGATAGATAGATAGATAGATAGATAGATAGATATGAATAGATTTAGATGCATAGATAGATATATACTAAGAAATGGACGACAATTTATTTATTAAAGACATTTTTATGTTTAACGTTCTTTTTATAGATACAAGTATTTAAGTAAATGCTCTGTTTATAATAAACAGTATTAAATAACATTTACCGGCCTGAATGTCCGAGAAATGTCGGATTTTGTCCATTTCTTAATATATGACGTCATTTGTTTACATTTGATACGCCATGAGCAGTTATGAATGTACGAGAGTCATGGAAGATTGAAGTTTATAAGCAGTAGATTCAACCTTGCCAACCGAACGATCCTTTGTGGCCGATCGGAAAGGCACGTCAGCGTAAATGACGGTTCCGTATAGGATGCAGGTTCGAATCCTGTCAAAGGACGAATATTTTCTATGAAAAACCTCGGACATTCAGGCCGGTAAATGTTATTTAATACTGTTTATTATAAACAGAACATTTACTTAAATACTTGTATCTATAAAAAGAACGTTAAACATAAAAATGTCTTTAATAAATAGATATATACATATGAACCACCTGATTATATATATATGTGTGTGTGTGTGTGAAATATATATATATATATATATTAACTGATTTAAAAATATGATTTCATCGCTACACAGGAATTATCATGTTTCAGAAACTAAAAATTTCAATTATATAATTAAATTAAAAGCATTAGTTCTGTTTCATCTTCAAGAGAATTTTGGAATAATTTATTTTGAAAATTTATTGAGTTTTAAAAGCACATATATTCATAATTTTGTTTCCAAGGATACAGAGAAATCCAATCATTTAGACAGGGGCGGTAGCGTGTTCATTTTTATTAACAAATGTTGTATCATTTATGTTACGTTCGAAAAAGTGGTTAAGTCTAGGTAGGGAAGGGGTGCCTTTTTCAACGAATTATGACATCCGAGTTTGTCGTTACTTGAAATTTCGGTGCAGCAAGGGCGGACTATCATTGTTGGTTCGTCCGTTGTTGTTTGATTTATTGAAATTGTCATCTTTGATAATGGCTTATGTAAACCGAAAGCTTAGGTTGGATATAAACATGTATCAATATGGTGTTTTCCTTTCGTCTTTCAACGATAATGTGATTAAGCTTATCAGACAATATGAAAGGAACTTACTTAAAATAAATAGACAGAACTTGTCTATATTATTTAATGAAACATGCATTAATGAAAAATTGCTGCCTAAATATACACAATATATATATAGAGTGACCGAGATGAAAAGAGTAGATAGATAGAAACAGATTGAAATAGATATGAAAAAAATGAGATAGATATGCAAGAATGAGATAGATAGATAGATAGATAGATAGATAGATAGATAGATAGATAGATAGGCAAAAAATGAGATAGATAGATAGATAGATAGATATGCACAATGAGATAGATATGCAAAAATGTCATTGATAGATATACAAAAAAATGAGATAGATATGCAAAAATGAGATAAATAGATAGATAGATAGATAGATAGACAGACATACAGACACATCGATAGGTAGATACGTACATACATCGATATGCAAAAAATGTGATAGATATCACAAAAATAACCTCTATACTAAAAGTGATTCATATTAAGTGACTGAACACATTTTTAACTCATTATAGAATTCGATTACAAATAATTTCAAATCATTTTTTCCTGCTTTAATCACCCTATATATATATATTTGATAAAAATATAGTTTTAATGTAAGCGATATTTATTGTTAAAACTGCTCAGTTTCAGCGGATAGGTAAATAAAAAACTGAACATTGAGATTAACAATTCTTTCTTTATTTCATGCTTGAACGGAATTTTCAGGTTTCAAGATTGCGTTCAAGCATGAAGCAGACTGTCGTGCCTTTGTGTTGACCTCAGTATATATATATATATATATATATGTGTGTGTGTGTGTGTGTGTGTGTGTGTGTGAATGTGTTTGATAAAATATAGTTTTAATGTAAGTGTGGGCACCAGATTCAACAACAGAATTGTGCAAATCCTGTAACAGCATAATTGTCCACTCCACAAAATGGTTAATATCTTAGAAAACACTGAACTAAGTGAGTTTTGTTTTTCCAGGTTATAAAATAAGACGCTTAGGTATCTTCACACCATTGGTCGTAAGAATCACTGTAAAAATCCTTTGAGTTATTCACTTAGAAAGAAAAAAGATTAAAATCATTTAGTGTCAGTCCTGCTGAGAAAAAAGATCATTCAGTCTTTCAGTAATGGCGCCAACATTCGTACTCTAGCTTCTATCTTCAAAGTCCATTCAAGAACCATCAAGAGAATGGTTAATAAGTTTAAAAAAGAGGGAACAGTAGAGAGGAAAACTGGATCAGGAGGTCACAGCAGGAAGAGGGATCATCATTTCAACTTAGAGCTAAAGAGATCAACTAGAAAAGATCCAACTCAATCCATAAGACATTTGGCACGTG